CAAAGTTCAACTTCTTGTTTAATAAGGATGATGGTACCCTCAACCTTGAGACTGTCAGTCTGGTGCCAGCAAACTATACCTGGATGTTTTGCTCTGAGTTCAATGACAGGTATGATTACCTGCACAGCCATTCAGCTCAGAGAGCATTTTAGCTCTGATTATTTAAACTCCTTTTACTTTGTTTCACTGCAGCTGTGAAACAGACTCATCCTGGGATGAGGTCCCAAATGCGTTTAAAGCAGACTCTGATGTTTCCTGCAACAAGCCGATCAAGAGCTCAGTGAGACGAGACCTCGGGGATGGACATCATTTAAAGTTTTGTCTGACAAACTCAGTTGGCTCCTGGTGCCAAAGTTACCACATAATCATTCCACCTGCAGTCCAGTACTCTATAGGTAATAAAGAGTATTTGCATCAGAAAATATTTGATTAAATTTATTTAAAGCTGTCATGCTCACATTGTCGTTTGTAGGTAAACAACCTCAGGATATCATATTCCTGCTTAAAGCAGGCAATATAACTCTCTTTCTGGCTCTGGTAGTAGTCAGCACAGTGCTCATATTCTTCATCAAAAAGAAGGTAAATATATTCAGCTTATTTAACAAACACAAATAGAAGAGGGCACCAAGTCATTTTTCTTTGCAATATAAACCTCAGTATCAGTCTTCAAGGGAGATTAATTGAATCTTTCATGGTTTTTGTTTGTTTCATAAGAGTTTGGTATCTCTGTAACAGTAATGTATTTGTGTAGCACTTTTTAAAAGACAGTTATAAAGTTTTCGCACTCATATCCAACAATGGTCATGTTTTCAGAAGACCATGTTCAGTTTTAAAAAGGTTTATTTTACAGAATTTCAGATCAACGGGGGAGAGTCTGGAGCTACAAGAGTCTCGGGTGAGTGTGTGTTCACCGAACGAGAACGGTCTTCTGCTAGAGAAAAACAGATGAGAGATATTTTATTGGGATGAGGATTTGAGGTTTTACTTAAATATTTTTCCAGAGTAGCTGGAGGAGTAAGTAGAGGGTCAGAGTCTAAGGATTCATTAAGGATTCAAACAAAAATTACAGAGATAGTTTACTGCAGCCAATGCCACAAGAACCTGACAAGGAGCGTAGGCTTGAGCTGCTGCTTAAATACATGGAGGTAATAAACTGATGTGAAACAGGTGTGTTGGCTACAGCAGTACCAACCTATCTCCACCTAAAAGCAGAGGAAAGAGGAGACACTACACTCATTAGATATAAACTATGGTCAAAAATAATGCGGAAAGATGAAGGAAAAGCTCATCTGTAAAAACAAGTTTTCAGCAGCGAGTTAAGTTCAGCCAAGCTGATTGCCAAACAGACGATAAGAAGACATCTCACTAGTGATAGCATTGAAGCATTCATGGAGGTGGGAGAGGCTGCTGAGTCTAAACAGAAAAGCCCAGCTGTGTGTTGTCATCATAGCAAATGAAAGCAGACGTGGTCCAAGGATTGAACCCTAAGGGACTCCACATATGAGAGAAGCACAAAAGCACCATTATCA